AGGCCTAGGCCAGGCCGGGAAACCTGGCCGCCCGCCCCTGCCGCCCTCCCTGGCTCCGGCCCACCGTCCCTGTAGCCCGGCCCGTCCGCTCGGCCCCTCCCAGACTCCTGTCGCCCGCACGGTCGCTCCCCGGCTCCGGCCGTCCCCACCGTCCGTCCAGGCCCGGGCCGCTCCCCCGGCGCCTCCCGAGTCCAGATGTCCCCAGTGGGCCACCTGTTCCGCGGGGTAATTATTTTAATGGAGGGGCCCGAGTCACGGGTTCGCGCCCCCAGCGGCGACAGCTGCGGCGGCTCGGCCTCTCAACGGGATTTCCCAGATGGGCCGCGAGGCCTTAACGACTTCATTAGCCAAATTATCCCGCCCGGAGCACCGGGCCGGAGACCAGAGGGGAGGGGCCGTCCCCCTCCCCGCTCCCGTTGGGGGGACAGGAGAGGCGAGCCCGGGGAAGAAAACACCTCCTTAGAGAAGGGGCGACGGCTCCGGAGGGAAGGGGGGCGGCTCCGGAGGGAAGGGGGCTCCATCACGCTAGCACCCTGCCCATACAACCCAGAGCCATCAAAAGCCAGGTGAGGAAATTCTTCTTATGCCAAAGGAAGTGATCCCATGCGGGTGATGGGGATGGCGAGGGAATGCGCGCGCAGCCCTGAGTTCCCACTGCTGCGTGCGAAGGTCGGATGGAGCAGCAGACATGGCACCTTAGCCACGTGCGTGTGTGGCGCTCTGGCAGAAGAGGAGGCCAGCGTCTGCTTTCAATATAACGTCTTCCCTACGCCCATGAGCACGTGCACGTGCCCGCTACAGGAGCCCAGTTAGGGCTCTCGTTCTTCCCAGTGTGGGGTGGACAGTGAATTCCTGCAAGGTCAGCCTTCTGCTGCACTCCAGGCCTGAACAACTAGAAAACACTGGTGGTGGAGGTGGTGTGTGTGTGTGTGTGTGTGTGTGTGTGTCTAGGTGGGGGTGTCAGGCAAGGTGTCACACACCTGGGATTCCAGGGCTCATGAGGCTGAGGCAGGAAGATTGAGAGTTGGAGGTTAGCTTGGGCTACTAGCAAGAACCTCTCGGTCCCTGTCCCTGTCCCTGTCTCTCTAACTTGGGGCCTGGTAGAGTGCCTGTCTAGCAAGAGGCTCTGAGATCAAATTCCAGTACCACTGAAATAACAACAGCCGTGGAAAGGAGGATGCCCTTGAGGTGGGTGGGCTGTGGGAGGGGGGCCTGGGCGGCTGGCCGGGGCCTGCTGGCAGAGGCCCCTCCCGGACCTTATGGGCTTCCCCAGGGCCCCTCCTTGGACCTAGAAAGCGGGCCCAGGGAAGAGGCACTGGTCCGTGGGACCTGGAACTTGAGGGAATTCCCGGTCGCCACTGGGACCCCGCCCCGCTGCTGCGGCTCAGCTTCCGCCACCTCAGCAAGTGGTGAGCAGAGTGGTTGGCCAGGACTTCCTGCCATTATCTGACGCGGTTTGGACATTAGTGCGCTGCGACTCACCACCATTGCGAGTCACTCACTGCAGCATTAAACTGTCCGTCTTTCCCCACGTGCTCCCGGTCTCTGTGGCAGGCAGGCCGGGCGGGCGGGGTCACCTCTTGCGACATTGTTTGGGGCGCTGGCTCTGTGTCCCTGGTTCCCAGGGGCTGGGCTGCTAGGGTGGCGGTGGGTAGGTTAGGGAGGTGTGCTTGCTCGCTCTCTCGCTCACTCTCGGGCTGAGCAGTGGAAATGGACAGCAGAACCTTCGCAGACCAAGTGGAGAGAGAAGCGCATTTAGGTGTCAGACAGGAAGCCGCTCTTCAAAGTGCAGCCACTGTTCCTGTCTTCAGCTGCAGGACCCCCCACCGGACACCCATCGGGCGGGGCGGGGGGGGGCTGGGGTGCTCAAGGCCCCTTGGCTCCCAGGCCATGGCAGTCTGATGATGCCACCGGCTCTTCATAGCAGCCATAGCCCAGGCTCTGTGCAGACCCACTGCAAACGAAATCCTGCAAGCACACACAGGCCGTTCCTGAGAAATCCTTCATTTCTGCCTAGGGCACCGCATCGAAGCTCCGGGAGCCCCCCAGCATGGCCGCTGGCTGTGTGTGACCCGGAGCCTCTGGGTGTGCAGCTGCCCTTGGCGCCGTGTGGGCTCTCCCCACTCCTGGAAGTGCTCCCCACAGCTGGAAGTGCTCCCCACTCCTGGAAGTGCTGCCCACAGCTGGAGGGCTCTGGGGACACTGGCCACACTCCCAGCACAAAGCAGAGAGCCAGGAACAGTTTAAAGAAAAACAAAAACAAAGGCCCCGTGATTGCTGGGGGGGGTGCTATGTGCAATGCAGCCCCCCGAGTGTGTGCTGGGGTTCCAGCTGGGCCCAGATGCTACCAGCTGGCTGGGTAGGGTCAGGGGTGAGCACTCTCGTTAAAGAGGTGGGTGGCAAGCATCCTAGCTACTCAGGAGATTGAGATCTGAGGATGGGGACAGAGCCAGCCCCGGCTGGAACATCCTGAGGCTCTTACTTCCCATTGGTCACCAAAAAGCCAGGAGTGGAGGTGGGGCTTGAGCCAAAAGCTCAGGGACAGCACCTAGGCCCTGAATCCAAGCCCCTCCCCCCACCTGCACACACACCTGCACAGAGTGACAGGAAACCCAGGCGTGAGCAATCCAGAGGTCAACCCTGGCAGAAGTCACCCCAGGGCGGGGTGGTGAGTCCTCCTGCTCCAGGGGTCAAAGAGGAGCCGGAGAGCTGACCAGGGAGCCCTCTGGGCTCCACAGGGCTGTGGTGTGGGCTGAAGTGTTTAGTGCCCTTTTCCCTGAGCTGGCCTTCCACCAACCCCAGGCCCTCCCAGCCCCCCGCCCCCCAGCTTGGGTCTGCAGTGCCCGAGGAAGTTTCGGTGCTGCTCCTGCAGCCCAGTGCTGAGCCCTCATCCTCTGTAGGAACCTGGAAGGCGCAAGCTGAACGTGAACTGAGCTGATGCCCAGGAACTGTCCAAAGGACAGCTAGGCCATAAGCTTCTGGAAGCCTCTCTGAGGGAAAAGTGGCAGGTGCAGCGAGGAAAAGCTGCCTTCTCCCAGTCCTGAGCCACACAGGGGCAGGGCTGTGCAGGGGCTCACATGCTACGCGGCACCCACGATGGGGGAGAGGTGTACAATGACCAGCGAAGGAGGCCACCTGCCTGTCCTCTGTGACCAGGTGTCTTTGAAGTCCTCACAGGCTCCCAGCTTCACGGGTAAGTAATTCCAGGTGAACATAACATAGATGACAGCAGTTTATTCTGAATTTTGTATGAGTCGCTATTCTAAGAACTGGGAGTCTTCCTCATCACTGACAGTACTCATTAACTCCACACAAGGCCTCCAAAGGGACCCGCGATTAGAGAGCTCCAGGACTTTCCTCCCTGCTCCTCTCCCACACTGAATCCATTCCTGGAGTTTCTGGAGAGAGGAGCAACCTGGAGGTGCAGTGTTTGGAGTCCCACTCCACCAGACCTTTGATCTCTGTGCAGCTCTCCCGGAGGCCCCCCCTGCTGCCCCCCATGCCCTCTGGGCTGGGTCAATACAGACACCAGGACCAGACAGGAAGAGACCTAGAAGGGTCACTTCACACATCATAAACTGCACAAAGACCCCATCCCTCAGATAGTCCCTCCCCACGCACCCACCTCTCTCTAGACAATTGGCAGCGCGCCTCCCACACCTGTTCACTTACCCGCCAACAGAAATGGAGCATTCGGTTTGGTGTAAGTCACCTGGCTGCGTGCAGTCCAACACGACAGCAAACCCACCGAGTGCAGGAACTGCAAAGCTGGCCTGCATTCAGCCCAGGCACGCGCAGACCTGGGGCTGACAGCTGGTGGGGGGGCGCGCGGAGGAGGGAGTACGCGGGGCCTGAACGCTGCAGAGCGAGCGGGCGTGGTGAACTCCCCTGGGAGTTGTGGGAACTCCTGAGACAGTTGTGCTGAGGGTCGTGCCCGTCTGGACGGTGTACTCCTCCCTCTACTGAAACACCTGCAGCCCAGAGACGGCAATGGGTTATTTGAGGCACATTCTGGGGATTTCATTGGCAGCCCCTCCCTTCTGCTTTTTAACGCATTCCCCTTGGGAAGGAGCAACCTGCCCCCCAGTGGGGGGGGATGGGGTGAGACTGTGGGTCAGCTGGAGTAAAGGCTCCGAGCAGCCCTGCCCCTGGAGAGAGAGGCCGTCCTCCAGCCCCACGCTGACCAGGACCGCTGACCAGGACCCGAAACAGGTGGCTGACAATTCCTGGGCTGCTTCACCACCCCTCCCTCCCCCAAGGACCCGGGAGACACCCGAGCCTGTGGACACAGTCTCCTGGGGTAGGGCAGGGGGAAGATCCACCCCAGCTCTGAGGCTTCCCTGTGGGCTGAGGACCAGCCAAAAGTCCCTCCAGCATCGCGTGACCATTAGGAAGATGAGCACGCGGTAGGTACCCGTACATGCTGGAGAAATACCAGGCCCTGCCACTCAGAGGCTGGCTGAGCTCTTCTCTTCCACAGAGAAATCGGGAGCATACTCCACACACACCGTGATTTCTGTCCACTAGCCGTTAACTTTCCCAACGCAGAATAACATGATTTCCAAGCCTCACAGTACCACAGCCCGTGCCGTGGACCTCAGCGTGCCCCTCTGTCACAAGAGGGAGAAATCCTACAAACGCCAGCCCAGCATTGGCTCAAGCCCCACCTGGGTGAGAGGCCTTTGAGGAGAAATTGTGTGGTCTTATACCGACCTTTTAAATCCCTCCTCGCAATAACCTGGCCTGCGGCCTCTGATGAAGTTTTCCTGGCACCCAGTTTCTCTTGGGTCCGCGGCCCCGGACCCTCCTGTGCTTTGCTCGCCTCTCACCGGCACCGGAACCTTGCTGCACTCCCCTGAAACTGCTCCTTCCCTCCCAGACTGTGTGGGGAGATAACCAGTCTAACGGAGCAGTCGACCCCGCCTGGCCTCCTGACCTGCCTGTTGGTTCAGCTTAGGAAAAGCTCAGAAATGCTTTTACTGCAAATATTTGGTGTGTCTGTGTGTGTCTGTGTGTGTATGTGCGTGCGCACGCGTGCTCACGGGGGCTAAAGCCTTCGGACCTTGCCAGCCTTCCCTCTGTGTGTCTGTCTGTCTCTGTGTGTGCGCCTGCGCGGAGGGGGGGGTTAAAGCCTCCCGACCTCGCCAGCCCTCCCCCCGTGTATGTGTGTGGGGGGCCTCCGTGTGTGTCTGTCTGTCTCTCTGTGAGCGCGCAGGGGGCTAAAGCCTCCTCACCTCTCCATCCCTCCCTCTGTGTCTGTCTGTGTGTCTGTCTCTGGCGCGCGCGCGCCCGTCGGGGGCTAAAGCCTCCGGACCTCGCCAGCCCTCTCCCCGGTGCTCCCGGGAACGGCCGGCAGCGGGAGGCGGGACCCGCGTTTCCCTCCCCGAGGACCGAGGACCCGAGGGCCGGCATGCCCGCGGCTGGCGCTGCCCGGCCCCAGCA